TACAAGTTGTCACTCTTTTGTTGCATAATGTCTTGGGAAAATTCAACTATGAAAGGAACTTGTGCCTCCAAAAGTGAACCAGGATTATTGTCCTTGTACGCATCACAATCAACAAAGTTTGTTTGCTCAGTTTTTTCAAAGAATCCACTGTCCATGAGGTAAAAAGGAAGCATTTTAGACAATATCAGCCATCACCCAATGAAATTATCCACCACAATTAATCAGGATGTAAACATCGTCTACAAGATGCCATGGTAAAGCAGCTGGGATTTCAAAACCTTTGATGATGTTAGTGATTGACCTCTCATATACAGATACAGCTGAAGCGCGATCAATGTGTTCTTGGGTACTAATAAGATCATCATCATTAGCCAGGTAATACCTTTCATAGGTATTTTTGATGTGTGAGATGAACAAGTAGTTGGCTGTTGTGTATCTGTATTGATTCATGCTGCAGAGTTTTGATTTTTTACGGAGATAGTAAAAAACAACATCGATGTGCTATAAAAAACATGATAAACGAAATTAGAAACTTGTAAAAAGGGTCTATGATAGAATTGATACATTAAATGATAATCTAAACAAATACTAATTTGATAGTTTATTTGATTGTATCCGAGATGATTTTTTGTAGCATGTTGTTCTATATCAATGTATCTGATACATGCTTAAATTGTTTCATTAAGAACTTTACCTGATCAGTCCAACATTTGTTTGGTTGTGACATGGCATAGAACCAGTTCTTGTTAATTGGAAATGCAACAACAAAATCCATCATCTTAAATTCAAAAGAAGAGACTTTTGATCTGTATTTATCCTCCGATGGTTTCCTGTGATAATATTTGTATTATTAATTGGTTACATCAAAATAAGTTAATCCAAACATTTACAAAATATATGTATAAAACTTACTTATTGGCATGATTTTTGAGAAGCCCCTTGGTTAACCACTACATATACTCATCAATTAGTTTAGACAAAGGTTGATATGTAATCCCACATCCTTCAAATGGAAAATACAGACGAACATCGTTATCCAATTTTTGTTTTCCCATATCACTTGACCCAAAAGAAGTCACGTATGGAGATTGAATAATTCTTGAAGGCATCCTGTTTCTAGGCGTAGGAGTCTTTGAATGACTTCTAACAACAATTTCGGTGGTTGGAATATCAGTGGGTAATTAACTATCAGATAACAAATCACGACTGCCAGTTAAATCCTGTGGATTGTAAACACACAATGGTTTAGCAGGAATAAGAACTTTTCCTAGATCGGATACAAGTGCATCTATTGCTGCTTGAGTTGAGGGCGATATTGTTGTTGATGTGGAAGAATCCTGTATTAGAAGATATTATATTTTTTTTAGTATCATTGCATATAATGAATATTAGTGTCATGATGCATAATTGATAAATATACCGATGTATCAACTTTTATTCTAAAAGGCATATAATGACGGATGTTGTGTTGAACTGTGTCAGCACCATCTTCATCCATGTTTACTTCATTTAAAGCTTGTGGGGCTTGATGTTCTTCATCATCCTGAATATAAGAATGTTGTATGTATCAGTTATCCATTATACTAATTATGTATGATATATATATATAAAAAAGAGGATAATGTATCAAAGAAAATTGTAATGTTTAAAGTTTTGATCATACCGATACTTTCTTAGGATCATTTGCTTCAGTATCAACATGAGTACTTTCATATGTAGGTTGGAGCTCTGAAACACGCTTTATTTGTTATTGGTTACTGATAGTATGATCAATCTATATTTGAATTTTTAATAATAAAAAAGGTGTTAGCATAATTGTTACTGAAACATTATTTAACATAAGTGATGAATATAAAGTTGAAATATATAACTGATTAATGAGATAGAAGATTCGGTGAATCACCTTAACTATATATATGATCCATATGTGCTGATACATATGATTATGATTCTTAATACATACTTAATGTATGAGGTATAACGACAATTACAAACAATGTATCAGATACATACCTCTGCATTGACATTAACTTGATGTCCACCCTCATTAACAGATACACCAACCTCAAAATCAGCTACACCAACTGCATCAGCAAAATCAGTCCGTATATGTGAAGATGGTTGTTTATTGCTTGATTGAGGATCGACTTTGTTGTTTTCCTTGTGTCGAGTTAGCATCAACTGTGAGTGCTTTTCCTTTATCAAGATTACAAGTTCCTCAAATTTCTTGTCAACCTATCAAAAAATTATAAAAAAACAACTACAATTAGAGTCAATATAAAGAAAAAATAATAAAATCGAAATAATTACTTACATAATTCTTCAAATGATCTTTCAGTTCTTCAATATCTGGAATTACATAGTTGACTTTTTGAGCATCTGCAGAACCGTGTACATTAGCAGTCGGTGTCGGTGGACCATCTGAAATAGGAAATGACTGATTTAATGACACATTGGACTGATCTGGCTGACTGGGTTCTGACACCTTTGTTTGAGGTGTATCCACTTTCTTTCTTCTTTTTGGTGGTGGTGGAGATGATGTATCAGACACTCTAGATGATCTCCTTAACAACTGTTCGGGAGGTCTTGTGGAGAAATCATCGAAATCAGCAATGTCATTCAATTGAACTATCTTGGGATTGATAGATGTTGTGGTGGGTGAAGAAGGAGGATCATGTTCATCTTCAGGTAAATCAAAAGTTGCAAGTTGCTCCGGTGTTGGCACAATGTTTGAACATGCATTCTGAAAAAAATAATTTTTTTAATATTAAGAGATAAAATTATGTATCCTAACACAGAAAAAAATGATTTTAAAAAGACAAACTTGCAACCTTACAACTATATACTTAATTATGTATGAAATGTAATATAAAATGGGATTCAATGTTACCTCTTGAAAAATGCTAGTCATAAGCATTTCAAACTTTGGCTTTAAAGCCACAACCCTCCAATTGCAAATTCTAGGGATGACATTCCGTTCTTTGACATCAATTTCAGGATTTAATTGGGATGCAAATTCATATGTCCATACGTTAAGTGAATAAGACATGCCATATAACCGATACAACTGTTTGTTAAGATTGAAATCCTGTCGGAGTGAATCCATGAGCTTTGTGAATACAATTCGTCCCCAAGGATATACTTGATATCTACCATCTTCAACCATTAAGAATTCGTTAACAGATATTGAAGAATCACCAGTTTGAGCCAAAATGAATGTATGGAGAAAGTACAGGATAGCCATCTGGAGTGCATCCTGATTATTCTCCCAGTTGCCATCAGAAATCGTTGGACTAGATGATTCTTGCTTACACTTTTAACTGCACCAAGAAAATATTTTTGGAATAGCCTACAGGGAGTTGATTCTGGGTATTCAAAGTCTTTGGTATTGCCTTTACATTTAAGACCAGTTATTATTGCAAATTCTTTGATACCAAATTTCAAGATACCCCCGTTTGCATGTCTAATATGCAACACCTTTGAGTTGCCTTGTTCCAATTCTAACAACAACAAACATTTACTGATTTGACCCTGAAAATTACATTTAGGAATGTCTAAATAGGGTCCAAAAATTGTAGCTCTAAACAGTTCAATTACATCATCCCCTATAGACTTCTGGAACTCCAAAAAAATTGTGTTAAAAGGGACACCAAACCTTATGGCATGTGTTGGTACCTTTTTTATAACATATTTGATTGACTGCAAAATGAAAAAGAAAATTATACTAAATAAAAACACCAAATCACACTACACAACAAGTAATGATACATAATAAAAACAAATTGATATATAAAAAAATACATGCTACCAGACTTTAACAGAATCGTATTATAAAACTTGATACATTATACAGAAGGATGCCTTGTATGATATATTATTAATAGTGCCTTTTTTATAACATATCTGATTGACTGCAAAATGACCAGATACTATTTATAATGACATCTTATGATACATAAATAAAAACACCAAATCACACTACACAACAAGTAATGATACGTAATAAAAACAAGTTGATACATAGAAAAATACATGTTACCAGACTTCAACAGAGTCGTATTATAAAACTTGATACATTATACAGAAGGATGCCCTGTCTGATACATCAACGACTTTTTTGTTAAATTTGACAAGTCTCTATTTCATATTGGAGTTTGTCATGTATCATTTTTTTCGATACACATATAAAACAAGGGTTTTATAAGTTTCGACTAAATCTCAAATCAGTATGTATCAAACTAAGGTAGGGTTTTTGAATGTATCATGATTTAACCCAATAAACAATATAATACATCCAATTAATGTATCAGTCAATTTCAGTCTAAGATATCAAAAGCAATACAAATCACAAACAAGTTTAATAAAGATTAAAAACACATACTCTAGGCAATGCAGGTCTGGAAATAGCGGGTGCTGCTTTTCTTCCCCCTTTTTGGGGGGGTTTTTGCAACCTTTGGTTTAGATGATTTTGGCACATCTTTGGTCGACTGATTAATCAAGTTTAATGGGTCATGCAAACTTTTTGATCTAATTTCTGCCCAATTTTATATTGTTCGATTAGTATTAGAAAGATTTGATGTAGGATCAGGATTCATATGTATCAAGAAGAAGAAATCGAAACAAAATAAAAATTGAAGGAAGAAGATGTAAGCTACAATGGCAGACTTTGGGAGAGAGTACGGAGAAGACGAAGTTTGAAAAGGGTTGGCTTGAAAGAGAAAATTTTTGAAAATCAATTTGGGATAATGATCTGTAACTGAAAAAATATTGGAGTGAATTTAGGGAGAAAAAAAAGGAGTGACATAGGGAGTGGTGAAACGTGTGAGGTAAAAAATAATCAGGTATCTGACAGATTTGATATTTAAGTGAAATAAGAGATTTAAGTAATTTTTTTAAAAAGTAGGGAAAAATAAATAATAAGGAAATTAAAGTTGTGTATTTAAGTTATTTTAATAAAAGTCTTGTAAATTGCTCAAAGTTTTTGCTATTGCTAAACTGCTATGCCTTGTTCAGCTCTCTCCCCTAGCCAGCAACACCTGGTTTTCTCTGTTACGCCTCTACTGTCCATTTCTCTAAACAAAAATGGAACCCAGATTCACTTTGCTCACAAACAAACTTGCACTCCTCTATTTCTTGATACTATTAATCCAGATGTTGTTCAAGCTTCAAAAAATGGTGGGTTTCAAACCATATCTGATTTCAATCATCAACTTACATCTTTAGTTTTAGAAGATGAGTTTGAGCTAGCTTTGAAACTGACCTCATCTTCATCATTTTATGCATTGACACCCAATGAATACACATACTCAATTTGGGTCAATTTGTACTGCAAAAAAGATGACCCTGAAACAGCCAAATCCATTTTAGGTCACATGTTGGAACATGGGTTTCAACCAAAAGTTGAAACTTTTACAACTCTCATCAATTCATTCTGCAAAGCTGGAAAATTACAACATGCCCATCAGGTTTTTGATGTTATGGGTCAAATTGGATGTGAACCCACAATTTATACTTACAATTGCTTGCTTAAAGGTCTTTGTTTTCTTGGTAGAGTAGAGGAAGCCTATGACTTGCTTATGAATATCAAGAAATCTAAGATAAAACCTGATCTGTATACTTATACTGCTGTTATGGATGGTTTCTGTAAGGTGGGTAGGTCCAATGAGGCATTGGAATTGCTTGAAGAAGCTATGGAAATGGGGTTGACCCCTAATGTAGTTACTTACAATACTCTGTTTAATGGGTATTTTAAAGAAGGCAGACCTTTAGATGGGATTGGTTTGTTGAGGAAAATGAAAGAGGAAAAATGTATGCCTGATCATATCACTTACAGCACATTGTTACATGGGTTGTTGAAATGGGGGAAAATTGAAGCTGCTTTATCGATTTACAAGGAGATGTTGAAACTTGAATTTGGGGTTGATGAGAGGATGATGAATACCTTGTTGAGAGGGTTATGCAGGCTATCTAGGAAACAGAAAGAACTCTTACAAGATGCATATCAAGTGTTTGTAAAAATGCGGAGCCGAAAACTGGTTGTAGACCCTGTTGGTTATGAGCTGGTTATTGAAGCTTTTTGTAGTGGTAACAAGCTGGATAAAGCACTGGAGAATTTGTATGAGATTGTTAGAATTGGGTTTTCTCCCAAGGCATTCACCTTCTCTAATCTCATTCGTGTACTTTGTTTGGAGGGAGAAGTTGAGAAGGCGTTGTTAGTTTTTGTTCTTATGATGAAAGATGGAAAGTCTCCTACTAAAGTTCCATTTAACTTGTTGATCAATGAGCTGAATCAAAAAGGAATGATATTGAATGCTTGTTACTTGTATGGTTTAGCACTGAAATGTGGGGTGGCGACAAGAAATAAACCGAGGTATATTCGCCTGGGGATGAGATTTCGAATTGAGGATTCATATAATCAACTCGAACTTGTTTGAATTAATTCTTAGTTTATTTTGATGGCAAGCTTTGTTGTAAAGAGGTTTTTAGTATATTTACTGTAGTATAGGAAAATTGCTGCAATTACCGTCTCATCTGCTGAAATTGAAAATTGAGATGTATAGCTTCCTCACCTTGTTAATGGTCCTGTTTTTCCAAGTTTTAGAAACTTAATGATACAAGGACTCTTGAACATTCACCACAGTACCAGCTTACAAATAAAAGATAGCTCGGTGCACTAAGTTTTCGTTATGGGTCTATTGTACGCGACACCACCCTGCATTTCTACGAGAGACTATTTCCACAAATTGAACTCAGGGCAACAACTTTACCAATTCCACTAATACTCCCCTTCAAAAGATACAGCAGTAGCATGCTTGCACCAGTCTAACTGCTGTCAAGCTGAAAACATCTCTTTTCATGCCTATCGCAAAATTCTTGTTAAATACTCTTTGAGATACCTTATTATCCAAATTACCTTCTTTTACAGCACTGAAACAACAATTGCTCTTTAAGATACCCTTCTTGTGCAAATTACGTTCTTTTACAGCACCTAACCTGGATTTTCCAATCATCTTCTCTTTCATTTTCCTTTTTCTATTTCTTTTCCAGGCAGCGGCGGTTGTATGCAAACAAGAAAAACGATAAAAAGCAACATTAATATCTCCCTCAGGATCTCGATTAGGGAACACTACTTAAACCAAATGGATACCATATTTACAAAATGGCGTTCCCCACATCTTCTCCCATGAGGAAAGGGAAGGTGGAAAACCATGTGCTTATCTTCTATATCTTTTCATGTAATCACTTGTCAAAAGGGAAGGGCCCAAAAAAGAAAAAAAGCAATTTGAAGAAAAAAATGCTCTACAATCGATCAAAATCCTTCGACACTAGACCTCCGAACAGATGAAGATGATGGCCTTCGGTTTTCCAATCGATCAAAGTCCTCCATAGAGAGGATGGAGGAACATGAAGGTAGAGACAGCAGTGGAGCAGCTGTCCTTGTCGGAGAAATAGATAAAGGGTGGGTTGGTGGTGAAGGGGAGAAGCTCAATCTTGATGTTGGGGTAATGATTCCATTTAGGCTCGGAGACTTTGACATGTGTTTTACACCAACTGCCCTTGGCTCTTGAAGAGGAAACCTAGAAGGGTACTTCATCACTTGTACAGCCTTGAGTTGCTCCACTACAGTTCTCATGGTGGGCCTTTCAGATGGATCCTTTTGCAGACATCTTTGAGCAATATCAGCCACTGTTCTTGCTGCTTTGGCAGGGAACCGACCTTTTAACTGAGGGTCCATGATTAGCGATAATCTACCGTCATCAGCTAGGAAAGGCCTGCTCCACTTCACTAAATTCCTCTCTTCCTTTGGATGCCGACTGTCAAAATTCTTCCGGCCAGTCAGCAGCTCAAGAAGAACAATCCCAAAACTCCAAACATTGCTCTTCGGAGTTACCAATCCTCGCTCCAGAGTCTCCTCAGAGAGATTTGCCAGGGCCTGAAAAACTCAATATTATTAACAAGAAAGTTCTAGGATCTTTGAAGAGGTCACAGAGTGTGAACAACTTCAAGCAGAACACATGCTAAAATGCCAATTAGACCTAGCGAGTGGCACAAATACCTCTTTTTCTTTTAAAATTCACAAAGATGAAATATACATCGAGCAAATACTAGGTAGGAGTTTGGACAATATTTGGTTGAAGTTGAAAAAAGAAAGAAGTAATTGAAGTTTACATTGAAAAAATAAATAAAATTTGGAAGTCAAAGTCATGTTTAATCATGACTTCCAGTTGAATTTGGAAGTTGAAGTCATGTTTTGTCAGTGAACTATTATTTCACTTGAAATACTCCTCAAACAAGTTTTTCGATATCAAATTCTCTATTTCAAGTTGGAGATAATATAATGGACAAAATAGTAAAAACACAAACTTTGGTTTATTTCAGGTTCAAGTTGAACTAGTGAAACAATTTTTATGGCCAAATGGGACACAAACCATGGCTATATGCAGCTATTAAGAGCCACATCCAATAAACATGAGCCTCAACTATTACACAGAACCTGCATAGTTGCAAAGATCCTATTCATATACACTACCAATTAGTGGTGTAGTATACAGGATATGCTGATATCACACTGGTCACTATGCCCAGGCAACTACTAGGCAACCCCAATTGTTAGTGGAATTTTTAAGACCAGGGTGTATAACAGAGAGAGAGAGATGCGTGTTCAGTAACTGTTAACATAGGAGAACTTACAGCTGAACTGCATGATATGTCTGTCTCTTGTATATGAGTAATGCATCCATATCCCGAGAGCTTTGCACTGCAATCCTTATCAATTTGTATATTTGCAGTGGAAAATTCATGGAACATTGCCTGTCACAGGAAATAAAAAACTTAGCAATATATAGGCCTACCCCTATATAAAAAAATGGAGATTCATCAATAAAGAGACACAAAGGTAACATGGAGTAATACAAGGTTGCAGAGAGAAAATGAAGGCAACCATGATTAGACTACAGGTTTAGGAAGCAGCATTGCCACCTGAAAAGGTCCTTCCTCATGCAGGAATGTGAGACCTTGAGCAGCACATAAAGCAATTTTCGTTCGAGCATTCCAGTCTATCGGGGGACCATCTGACCTCCCAAACAAAAGCCGGTCTAAGCTTCCATGAAAAAGCCTTTCATAAACCAACATTCTGTGCTCGGAACCTTCCCGTGCATGGAAACCAATCAGTTTACAAAGTGATGGATGTTGCAAAGAAGCTAGTGTGTTCACCTCAGTCACAAATTCCTTCAACCCCTGAAAAGCCAAAAGATAGTGACTCTTACAAAACTCATAAAGAATTGTAGAAGCAAGTAACCTGCCAAATTGTATCCTAAATTTAAACCAAGAAATTCAGACCATTTTTTCCCTGACATGATCTACAAATGAAAATTTTTAATACAGTGTGACGCAGGAGTTGCATCCCAGAAATTCAACCTCTGGATAGCAACCTTGCTTCTCTAAAATTACATATGTGAGATGATGAAGAAACAAAACCACTAATCTAGCCAAAGTATGAGCCTTCCTAATATTAGATATCACATGGCAATCAGAAAAAAGATGCCGACCCCCTCCTCACCCAATCAAAAGGAAAAAAGAGAGGGGGGCCAAAAAATGATAAGTACGTACGCAAGATAATTCAAAGTCAATAAATCATACCTGCGAAGAAGGATGAAGCCGGGTTACAGTGGCTTCAAGCTTCTTTGTACCAGTTGCATCATCTCCAAAAGAAGCTCTGTAAATAACAGAAGAGAGACCTTCTGACATACACCGTTCAGGAGAGAAGCGGTGGCAGGCAGCAGCAAGTTCTTCAAATGAGAAGTTCCTGAGTGCTCCAGTAGAAGGCAATGTTGAAGGCAGTGTAGGAGGCAGTGGCAGGGGTCCAGAGGCATTTAAAGGACTGCTGGCATTGCCAACTTTAAAGCTTCCCATAGTCTTGAGAGTGGCAGCGGCACTCTGTGGAGATGGAAGAGGAAGAGGCTGAGGACTTGGTGATTGGTACTCCTTGATAGAACCAATACGACTCTTGAACTCATCATGTTCCTCACATTCATTTGATGCTAGCGCATCTTGTTCTGCTGCGTCCAGGCTAGATGGGGCAGAGAGTGCCCGCGCCCTACTGCTTGTAACTCTATTACTCGACTGTACAGGTTTTACTCTAGTTCTAAAACTTGGAGGTGCCGACTGCAACGACCGTGTCTGCACTTGAGGCTCGGGCAATGCAGTAGGAGAATGTTCCTGAGGATTCACACGTTTGATGTGAATACTCTGTTCAGACTTCTTCTTCTTACTTTTTAAAACTGTGAAACAACCCATCTTTGTTGTTTATACAGTCCTGCCAAATCAGTAGCATAAACAAACTTACAATTCAATCGCAAAATAGGACCACACAACTCAATTTCAATTTAACCTTCATGTTTTACAAATTACAAATCTAGAGAATTACATAATTCCAATATAAACATAACTTCCTAGGTTCCAAACACATGAGGCAAAAAATCAACAAGCGAACAAACGGATATACTAAATAAATAAAATTATCTAAATTCCAACAAAACAAAAGGTGATACGCAATCAATTACAACATACTGGCATTAAACATATAAGCTGTGAATTTTCAAAACAATAAAAGAAAAGGCCAAAATTGTTCTTCTGAATTTGACATTCAAATTGAATAGGATGATCCAGTAGAAATTGTGTTTTTTTTCTTGGAAAAGCAGAAATAATAATAAACTTATCTAAACAGCAAACACAAAGATCTTTGGCAACAACAAGAATGATTCATAATAACAAACTAAATTATCAATTCATAGAAAACGAACCTTGAAAAATTGCGTGCTTCAGCAAATTGTATTGATTGATGTTTGAAGTATTGTAAGGTTTAACGTTTCGATGAGCTAAGAAACCCTAAAGAGAGAGGAGAGTCAAATGAGAAACGGCAGATTGATTTTTTTGAGAGAGAAAAGGTTGATAGAAATGGAGTAGAAAGAAGCAGTAGTCAAACACTCAAACCCCCATGAGTAAATTTCTCAATTAAGAAACATGCCACTTTATTCTTATCTCATCATAAAGACTCTTTTGCCCCTATTAACTATTTTTTCCATAAAAATAAACTAGCCAATATTTCAATTTAAATCATTAATGCTCTTTTCCTTTTTTATTAATGGAAAATTCACCCCACCTAATACTCTCTCTGTCCCTAATTACATGTCTATTTTTTTTTTTATAGTTATCCCTAATTACTTGTCCATTTTGACAAATCAAGAAATGTCAAAATAATTTTACCTATTATATCCTCAATTAATTACTTTGAAAAATGTATAATTTCTTGAAAATCTTATATTTTTAATTCATTCACTTCATAATTAGTAGGGGTGAAATAGTAAACTCACTATGTCAATAATTGTTTTTTTAATATGTGTGTCAATTCAAAAATGGACAAATAATTAGGAAC